GCAAAAGTTATGAATTGGTTCGGGTCTGATCTATTCTGGACAAATTATTTTTATGCAGATAAAAAATCCTACGGTTTTGACAGTTCGGATCACTGCACATTTAAATCAGCCGTTTACGATGTTCGGACATAAGTCAGAATTAAGTGTCATGTCAGTTTGTCGGTGCTGACAGCGCCTGTCATCGAGGTGACGGGTATGTTTGTGAATTACATGTTTGGCAACCCGGTATTTTGACAGCTCGTATGTTTTGTTAGCTGAAACCAGGGGATGGATATGGCTGTCATATCGCTTAAGTTTGCTGCGTACCGAACATCTGCAACGTTGTCAGCGGTACCATGATATGTTTTGTTGTTTTGATGTTGAGTACGTGTATTCAGCTATATGTCAAACCCCTGGCTGAAACCCCAAGTAAAAAAAACCCAATGGGATTGCACGAACCGTGATACGGACGCCAGTGAATTCGATCCGATGGATGTGATTACCGGCATCTCGCTGAAGGGCCTGCACCTGGACCTGATTCCAACCTAGACCCGAGAGAGATCGCGAAAGCCAAGGAACGGACGCGATGTGGTTTGTGTTGTGCGCGTCCGACATCCAGGAACGGGACATCAACTTGGACATTCTATGCATCCAGGGCTATCGCTTCTTCTACAACAAATTGAGGAGCGCGACTATGTTTGTGGTGATGTACTTCACTGACGAGAAGCAGTACGACGTGTGGCAGGGCATGGCAAGTTTGTCACAGTCCACTTTGAAGTTTAAAAAATACTTTTACCGTCACTCTACAGAGTGGCTTCGAGAGCAACATCGACCGTTGGATCCTGTCCCGGCTGACCAACTGTATCCATATGTCCAACAAGGGCTACGAATTTGCCCAAACCAAACATTTAGATCAATCTAGAGTTACTCTGAGAAACTCTCTTGCTCTCTGAGCGAATCTTTCTCTCATTTCTAGTGGATTTTTGCAAAAGGTCTTAATTATTTCTTGACAATAATTCGAGTTTGCGATGTGCTTCGACAAGAATTTCCAGACTGGTCAGAAACTCGGTCCGAAACTCAGATGGATCCCTGAAAATGTCAGATTTTTACGGCAGTTTCGATAAAGACCCTGAGCAGTTCACATTTGAAAAGGGCCTACAACCAAAATATAAACAAACCAGATAATTTATAATCCATTTTCTGGTTTGTTATATATATAAGAAAATCTAAGTTTTTTGGTTAGCTTTTCTATAGTTCATTAAAGCTGTCCTCCCCCTTGGGTAGCCAACTTAGTGAAAGACTTTCGTTAGTTGGGCTGAGCTGTCAAGCTGAAAATTGGATGAGGGATACACCGGTTGTTTATTATCATCACAATCCTTTATCAACTATTCAAATTGTTCATACATGAGCCCCTAGAAAAAGAAAAAAGTGCTGTCAAAAATGACGTTTGACTTCGATTTAGGTGAGTTATAGCCCAATTAACGGGAGCCCAACTAAAACGTAGCCCACCTAAACTGCCCACAATCGCAAGTCAGTCCCATCTGTAAAAAACTGGAAATGAGAAAACGGCGTTCAAAGATTTTACAAGTTTTCTGATTTGACACTTATTTTGGAGGGATAAATTTAAAAATAAACGTGCAATGCACGGATAGAAATCTCCTTATACCTTTTGGCAAATTTTTATTGCTAATTATTCATAAAATGTATAAGTCAACTAATAAGCAGGCGCCTTGTAAAAAGTTAATGAAAATCATGTGTCAAATTAAATGTATAAGCAGTCACACATACCTTTTATGCATTCTTATTGGACCTATGTGGTTTGTTTTATGGAATGTATAAGGCTGATGTTTGGGCAAAAATGTATAAGTGAAACACATGAATAAAAAAATTGATTTTCGTTTCGTGTGTGATAGAATGCATCCAAAAATATTGGAAAAATATCGTGCAATTTTTATTTTATGGCCAAAATCTGAGTGGGACTGACGTGCGATTACATTTAACTTCAATGAGAAAAATAACCGAAAGTCAGTCACAATTCCATGACGATGCTGCATTAGTATTGAACAGTAGAAAGATACAATGGTCCCATAGAACGTTATTGAATATTTCTGGATTTGTTCCGCTGGTTCCAGAGCAATGGCCGGAACATATTCCGGAAAGTATGGGTCTTCATCAGACCAGAGCTTTTCATAAACGTGCCAAACCCACCATGCGATAAATAAATTTACATGAGAATTCAAAAATAAGATCAATAAGAGCCATGCTGAGTGACCAGCACCATGTTGGCCACACCCGGACATGTTCCGGGTATCCCCGGGGAAGTGGTAAATGCTTTTCAAATCAAAATCCATCAAGCGATACATCAAATCAAATGAGAATTCAAAGCCATATCCATTGGCGGTCAAACCATAGAGGTAACTCTAAGACCACTGGGTCCCGAAGAAAATCATTATTATTGGTCAAACTGAGTATCGTAAGAACTATATTGGCCACATCCGGACATGTTTCAGATACCCTAGGGGAAGTGGACCAAATCCGTCATGAGACAAATCTCATGATGCTGTCTGACATTTCTAACATATTTTTTTTCTAATGGGACTTACATGCGGTTTCTTTACGCTGTGGGACAATTTGACTTGGTATTGTTTTTCATTTACCTTGAACAAACCACCTATATTTCAATAGCACGTCTCAAAAAACATAGAAAGATGAACTGAATAATGATGCTAACTCAAAATTGATAAAAATGCAGATGGGACTGACTTGCGATTACCGGCAGTAAACATAGTCCAACGACCAAAATTTCACTGTACTTGAAGCTGGTGTTCCAGTCCAGATCTAAGGGAGCTAAGTTTTCCACCCGGTAGATGTTCTACACTTGCTTGAACCTTGAACTGAAGCTTGTATAGCCCTGCTTGCCTTTTATTATTGAGGAGCTGTACTAGTGAATGCCGCGAGGCCAACGTGGAGCATGTAGCTAGTATTAGCGTGGCTCCGTACCTGGAACTGGAATCATGCAACTGGTACAACGAGTAGCTCGAGAAAGACTTTAACCGGTCAGCCCGAACCGGTTACAACTTGTCAAACAAGATGAAGACGGAAGCGTTCATTCTGTGTTGTAATGATGCTACCAAGGACACGTTGGAGAGTTTCCAAACCTTCGGTGCCAAACAGTGCAAATAAGTGTGCCCAAGTTTGCCCAAGTTGCGTTATGGCACACTGTATGAAGTGACAATCCTTGTGTCATAATCCCACATTTTTGGTGATCTTCACATTCCTGTTGTATAAAACATCTCATTGGCTTTTAGAAGAAGCTGTATGCAATAAATTTAATTGTAAAAAAGTAGAAGGGTCTGGGCCTAGGGGCACGAACGGAAGCTTGACGTAGGACCGCTAGTGGACGGAACAAATATGTTGATCATTTAGTTCTTCCCTCTTCCCTTTTTTGAATTGGTGGCCCGAAAAAGGGCCGGTTGTTTTTCAAATGGTGGCCACACCATCGATGGTGACCAGATGACGGTGGCCTAGTTATGCTGCCTATTGCGGGAAGCCTTTCCTGCGGTCGATGTGGGGGTTTTCGTCGTCGTCCCGTCGTCTTCGTATTGTTGTGATGCGCGCTGTTCCACTCATACGTAGTGTTGGACGCTTATCCGTCCGTTGCTCGAAAGCAAATGACTAATAGCGAATTCGTTTATTATTCAGTTCCAACCTGGATCGGGTATCAAGATTGGGTCTGATGGTTTTCTGACAAACGTCAGTTTGATCGTTTGTTTTTAAAACCCAGCTCAGGTTGAGGTTCGCACTGACAAAAAGTTCGGTTTCGCACCCGATAATAAACGAATTCGCTATAAGAAAAAGACATGGCCAGCGTTTTTATTATCGCTGCCTTTCTCCTCCCTTCCTTTCATTGATGAAATGGTGAGCGGTCAACCGAGCATTGAGCACGCTCATGAGAGCATGCGTACACACTTAAAAAAATCAACGACTTCGGTAATTCATTTACCGAATTCTCAACAGCTGAATGGTCGGTAATGTTTTCGGTAATCGAGAACAATACCAAAAAATCTGTAAACTGGATCAGCAAAATTAGCTGTCAAGTTTACCGAACGATCGGTAACGTTTACCGAAGAATGGTGATAGTAAGGAGTAGTCAAGTACTATTCCAAAAGAACTTCTGAGGAGAATTAGTTTAATGAGAATTTAGAGGATAATTCCGAAATAAATTTAAATGAAAATTCCAAGGAAGTTTTGACCACAATTCCAAGAGAATCCTGGCAATAATTCCAGAGGAATTTTTAAATGAACTTCAATCAAAATTCTTAAAAAGAACTCCATGGGAGAGGGCGACACCGGGGTAGTGGTTAGCATCCATACCTCTCACGTCAAAGTCACGAGTTCAAATCTCATCCCGGACAAGTCACAAATAACCCAAGAGCGTTAAAATGACTATAATAAAAAAAAAAAACTCCATGGGAATCAAATCTGTAGATTGTTTGAAATGAATTCTTAGGAGAATACAATTTTTGACGACAGATCAGGGAATGCTGATGGGAATTTTCAGGGAAAAATAGGTTTGTGAAGAAGGATACCTAGAGAACCCTGTACAAAGAAAATCGGAATTTTAGCAAAGTTTCAAAGGTATTCGAAGGTAAATTCCATTTCTGAGGATAGCTTTAAGGAAACTATAAGAATAATATCAAAGGACTTCTGGCAGCAGTCCAAAGAAAATTTTAGAAGAATTTCAAAAAAGTTATAGAGAGCTCCTAGGGAATTTCTAAGACTATTTCAAGAGAATTTGGTGGAGGGTTCCAAGTGAGGAATACTTTAGGAAAGATAATGAGAGTTTCTACAGGAGAATTATGAGAACGATGTAGCTCAAGCTCGCTTGTCCATTTATGGCTAATGAAATACCAATCTTCGGGATAAAGTGGAGTTTCGTGTACACATTTCTAAGTCACGCACACAACACAGTAGTTATATTTGAATCAGTTAAACATTATATAATTACCTACAACATGCAATCAGCAAAACTCAACACCGGCTCTCACCTTGTCACAGATCTCACCTGAAAAGGATTAAAAGCACATCAACAAAATCCACCAATTAGAAGTACCTTTTTCAAACGCTCTTACTTGGATTGAACATCTCGTCCGGGCATTGACGTTCAAATAACTGAATGGCGCACATTTCGATGTCCATTGCGTAGGAGTTACACACATCCACGATACCGGTAGTCTTCGCGGCACACTCCTTGTACGCGGCGAGCAGAATGTTCCGGGCGTTTTCGCTCATCTGATGCAGGTATTCAGCGATCTTGTCCTGGTTGAGCGTATCTTCATCCCCGCTGACGATCTCTAGGGTGTTGAAATAGCATTGGAACAGACACTGTCGGGGAGAAGAACGCAACGTGAATTATGATTTTATTTTTCAAAACTCAACACTGATCTTTCAGCCCAAGTGTTTTGTGACTTAGGGCTTTATGAAAGATCACTATCGAATTTTCCATGGATGATTTACCGCCATAAAATCGTGCTTGTCTCCGTCTGCTTTCTCTTCCGCTTGATTTTGGCATTCTCTAAAGGTGTCCCTCGGAAAGGGGGGCACATAGCTGCAGCATTTATGGATTTCAGCTTCCTGGTGGTTGGATGGTTAATGGTACAAACTTATCAGTTGTGATCTAAATTGTTTGATGAGCGTTTTAGTAGAGTAATTGTATACCTTTTTCGTCGATTTTTCCATTTAATTCTGCTACTTTTGAAAAACTTTCACTTTCACTAATTCACTTTCACTAATTCACTTTCACTCTTTACTTTCACTATCACTTTGAACTATAACATGTACGTATTTCGTTTACTACTTGCAAACTTCTTCAGTGTCTAGTCTATGACTATGACTAGACACTGAAGCAAGTAGTAAACGAAATACGTATCTGTTATAGTTCAAAGTGACAGTGTAAGTAAAGAGTGAAAATGAATTAGTGAAAGTGAATTAGTGAAAGTGAAAGTGATACAAAAGTAGTAGCATTAAAATGAAAAATCGACGAAAAAGGTTATCAGTTGTGTTTTATCGAAGGCAACGTATCAAAAACGCTTTTTGATATAATCACTAATAGACAGAAACAATCTCGTAACCTAACACTATTTTATATATGTGGTACTTATGCTGATATGTTTTATGCTGAATATTTAAGATGTATTACATGATCTTCGTACTCAATGCATTCCTCAGCTGGAATTGTCTGAAATTTTCAATATACATTAGTCAATAGAAATATGTTTTAATTCGAATGTATCCACTCACCTGCAGCAAAGCCAAAACAGCTACCAATAGACACCACATTTTAGAAGCTGGAGTTTTCTGATTTGTCGGTAAATGTGGGACGGTGTATATATACGATGCTAATTGCAGTGCACTGTTTTAATCATACGGTTGACAGTATAGAATTATTATTTTTTTTAAATTTGCTTGATATGTAAACAATTTAATAGATGATCGGTTGATATATCACGATGACACACCTTCATCCACGGATGACTGAAGAATAAATCAAAATCACTTTAAAACACCAACAACAGTGAGATGAACATTCTGTAATGCTGTTTGTTTATTACCGTCACTATGGGTGGTAAAATTGTCGGTTGTCCTAGATGTTTATGAATTTAGCACAACGATTATAAAAGAGCGAATCTTCTTTCATTAATATATAGTATTTCAGTAGATTTGTATAGCTACTTCCTATCGATTGGTGTATTTGGATATTAATTTCATCTATAAATTACAATTATAATCGTTCAAACCCTAACACTTTACCGTAACGGACCCAATTTTAGATTTTCGATTTACCCCTGTACCACCCAATCAAGAAACCCGTAAGGCGTAATATACCTCAAAACATTTAAAAAATACCAACATAAGTAGATTGCAGCATGGTTAGTTCAACGAAAACATGTGCCATCAAATGTTCTAAACGTGTCTACAACAAACCATTTGTGAGAAATCAATGTTTAAAATAGTTAATGTAAAAAAAAGAAGATTTTTAAGGGGTCACCCTAAGCTACCTTTTTAGAACCAGTATAATACGAGATCCATTAGAGATAGTTAATTTATATCTTCAGCAAATTTGCTATACATGAATTGTTCTACAGCTTTGTACAACATTGCATTGGTTTGTATTTAATAACCTAAATATTTATATGTTTAACTCCTTAACCACTTTCAGGAAAAAATGGTCAAAAATATATAAAAATGGTCCTCAAGACACCATACACCTAAAACTAACGGTTTAAGCCCAAACAATATTGTCTTCATAAATAAGGCATAGTTTAACGGGACTTGCAAAACTATTTAAGCTGTCAACTTTGAAAAGATTCTAAGACATTGAACAGGGCCGTCTTAACCACCCTTGACAAAGCTGAATAAGCCAAGCTGGTTCTTCAGGCATTTCACGAACTTCCAGCAACGCCAACTTGGTTGCCGGTCGACTAACCATTCCCCTGGAAGTGTGCACTACTGCTCTGCGAACTTGCCCATTCTTTCCTGACACGACATCCAGAATCCGCCCTCGCAGCCAACCGTTGCGCTTGCCTTCGTTGACCACAACCACTAAGGTGCGTCGTGTTAGCGTAGTCAGGTATTCGTGTAACCAGCGGTTCCAGAACATATCAACCAGGTACTGTTTCCAGTTTCCAGTTGTCCCTCACAGTTGCATACTCAGCGCTGCAGGTCCCGGCTAGGTTGGTTGTTGATGCCTTGTGTTCCGTAAAGCCAGAAGTGGTTCGGCGTGAAGTCCGCTTGATCCGCATGATCCAAAGGGATGTAGGTTAGCGGTCTCGAGTTGACTATCGACTCGACTTCGAGCGTAACAATCTCCAGGACCTCTTCACTGGGATGCACAGTGGTGCCAAGGGTATCAAAACACGCGCTTTTTTATTTACGCTGAAATGGTTGATTAAAGGTACCAGGTGTCTTCTGAGAAGTTTCTAGAGTTACAACACTCCTTCTTATGGTAAAAGAAAATTAAAGATTAATCCACCTTAAAGTGAGATGAAAAATTTATTTTTTTAATATGATGAGATACAAAATAATTATGTTGGGCAAAGCTGTAGAAAACATTACTGTGAACAACTTTGCTCAAGACTATAACTTTCTAGCTCTTATAACTGCTGAGATATAAGGGTATTTTTGTGGAGACATCGTTAAAATCAATTTTGTACCTGTAACTTTTTCTACAATATTTCTACATGTTTGGCATGTTGTACAAAGATGTTAGAAATATCAAATTACATATCTTTTCACAAGACTGCAAATTGCTATCAAGTTATCCACAAACTTATTATTATTCACATTTTTTGATTGAAAATTAGCCAACTTCCAATACCAATAACTTCTAAACGGACAAAAACGAGCAGGCCATTCTTTGAGCAATTGATCATTTTGTCAAGCTTCTGCATTCATGTTCCATCAGATATCACTGCTGTTGTTTGCGGTGACATCTATCGGAAACTGTGATGTGATGTGAATAGAAACCACCATCAGTGCAAGGATTACCTATGACTGCAGAAACTTCACTGGTTGTAAAGTTCTGCCTGATGGTTTGTTGCAGCAGGGTGAATCAACTTCATTGAAGACCTTTGGAAGACAAACGACAAGATGTACGTCTATCAACACGTGACAAGGGACTGGCAAATCCACGAACCCTTGTCCAGTCTACAAATCCTTTGAAACCCTTAGGCTGCCCCCCCCCCCCCAAATCCAGCATATAATAATGTTTGATTGATGAAATGTATTCAAAAAAGGGTTATTTAGAGTTCAGTTAATTTACCTGTACCAGTGTAATTACCTTTGATGACGATGAATTGTTGCTTTACTTATTTTACAGTTTTCTGGAGCTTCCTTTTTAATATTAATTTTTTTTTCCATTCTCAAACGCTTCTTAATCATTGTTACCTAGTCCTATTCATTTTCCTTGTTGTTGTTACACATTTTCTTTCTTCTACAGCAATTCTTTTCACTCCTCATCACTTTCTCCATCGGAAATTTCTCTTCCACTTTCTTTATATATTTCCTCTGCTTTTTTCTTCAGTTTTTCCCTATCACTGGGTAGTAACTTCCAATCTCTTTCATTCATCCCTTCATATCTTGAAAAGTCTTGCTTCAGTGAATCTTTCCACGTAAAACTAGGTCTGCCCTCTTTTTTCCATTCAAATTTAAATTTATATGCCAGTTTAAGAGGATGTAATTGCTTTCTCCTGATGATATGACCATAATAAGAAATTCTGCCCACCCTGATGCTTCTATTAATTGTTTTTCCTGCTAACTCTTTCCTAACATTCAACTTTCTATTTTCCTTTCTACAATTATTCCAAATATCCTTTACAACGAGTTTTTCGTATTTCGCTAATTGCAATCTGCTTCTCTTAGTGAGTGTGGATACTTTTGTTCCATATTAAATTTCTGGAGAAATGACTGTGTTGTAAATTAGTCTCCCGATTTCCCATGACGGATTAAAGGTTTAACAAAATTGAACAATCGATTTGGCTGACTTCATTGCGTTGACACATCTCTGTCTAATTGTTGCTGGACGATTTAGTGTGTTTGTAAGATTCACTCCGAGATATTTCATTGACTCTCATGTATCATAATCCTTTCCATTCAATTTTATCGTCTTCGGTGCACTTCTCGTGGCATTCGGTACCCTGATTAATATCTGACTTTTTTTGGTGTTGATTTCTAAACCCACCTCTGCCAAGCATTCCTCCAAAGCCGTTATAATCTTTTCCAGATCTTGTTGATCGTCGACTATTATAAGAAGGTCGTCAGCAAATGTCAGTATTATGGGTAATATGAGAGATCCAATCTCAATCAATCTCATATGTGGCACTTTCATAGCTACTTTCTTCAATACACTTTGAATCACTAAATTAAAAAGGAATGGTGACAAAGGGCATCCTTGCTTTACACCCTTTCCTCGTTTGATTTCATCTGAGAACTGATTCTGCCATTTAACCTTAGTTCTATCCTCTTTAACACACAGTATAACTCTGTCAATAATATGCGTTGGCACTTCCAGCTCCAATAGAATTTCCTTCAACTTATCCAATTTAACATTGTCGAATGCTTTCTTAATGTCCAGTGACGTCACAAACAACGTTTCTCCTGCATTCCAAAATTCTTCCATCAACCTTCTTGTCAAAAAAATTTGATCATCTGTCGAACGTCCTTCCGTAAATGCAGCTTGATGCAGATCTGGATCACCAGTAAAATTCCTAAGCCTATTCCTTAACCATTTAGCATATGGTTTATAGACAACATTACATAAACTTATTCTGCGAAAATCATCAACTGTTTTGGGGTTCCTTATTTTAGGTATTGGCACCTGTATTGATGTGGTCATATCCTTAGGCATTTTGTTTTCCAACCATATTCTTCTCCAAACTTGCACCAAATTTCCAAACGTCTCTTCATCAGCATATTTAAGAAATTCCATTCTAACTCCGTCAGCACCTGGTGACTTTCCATTGCAAGAAAAATGTACAATTCTCCACATTTCATCTTCCGTCGGTGGTTCCGTAATCGGGCACATGTCCTGCTTATCCACGAACGAAATCTCCGGTCCCACACTTTGCTTCAACGAGGTGTTCCATAACTTGGTTGGTATGTGGATTCTCTTGAAAGCTTTCTTCTTTAAATAACTTTTCAAGAAAGTATATGATTTCCTGATCCTCACCGCAACATCAAAATCGTTCAGATTTTGATAGAAATTTTTGATAGCCTTTTCCTCATGTTGTCTGCCCGCTGCTTGAAACTCTTCTTTTCTATTATTCACTCTCCATTTGTACGGTTTCATGTATGGCCTCTTATTATACAAAGACAATGCTTTATTTAATCTATTCAACGCGTTTTTTTTTCTTTTAGGAGTTAATGGTACTTTTGAAATTTTCAGCGCCTCTGAAGCTGCTTTCTTCATATTTTTTGCAACAAGAGTGTAAAAGTCATCCAGATTTCTATTCTCTAATATCTCTTTAATTCGACCCGATTCAAGCTCTTTCTGGTACTTTTTCTTAACCACGTCGTATTTAAGTGCACTCGCATCCAACCATTTACAACCTCTTTGCTTAGTTTTCACGAATTGTACATCCTTAAGCACAACATCCATAAGAATGAGCTTATGATCAGTATTCACCGTTGTCCAGAAACCTTTTATAAACCTGATTTTATTCCTGTTCGAAATCGGCTTTACCACATGATCAATCTGACTTTTCTATTACCGCTCCTCCACGTTACTTCTGTGTTCACTCCAATCTTAGATGATATATTTTGTAACTGATGAATCAGCAAAA